GCAAGGTGCCTCCACACGACATTAGCTCCTTCTATTCGCTTGTTTGTGGTAATAAGGCCAACAAGTCTATCTTTCATCCTACTATGACTCCCTCCGGTCTTGTAGCAAGCTTTAGAACTAGCGTGGTGTAGCTAGCTTTCTAGTTGACTCCTCCAACTTGGTACTCGTTGCATTCTTTATCTTCATCATTATCACATTGCAGCTCCATCTGATGTTGAGTAGGGTTTCTAGGCCGAGTGCATTCAGCCTCTCGAGAAGAGGACTCCCCCATCCATCATACTTCAACAGGCTAGGCATGGGTTCCTGCTAGGGGTGGGCATTGGGTGGGTCGGGTGGATTTTGACCATAAAATGCACCCATCCGCGCTTAAACCGATTGATAATTTTTCACCCACCACCCACCCACATTTAGTCTCGGGTTGGGTCGGGCGGATGGTGGATGATGCGGGTGGGTTTGTGGGTTCACCCACATCACAATGTATATATTAAAAAGGAGTCAACTTGACATGATAATAGGTGAAGAGAATCATCGAGGGAAACAAGAAGTTGAAATAGGGCGAAAAATGTCAAATTAGTTCTTAAATTGGATAGAAATTCTATTATGAAAGAGTTTTCTACAGATTGAGACGATTATTAAGTGCAAGGAACTAAGGAAAATAATTCCACAAAGGAAAGAGCGGTGATCTAGGCACAAGAATTAGATGAAAAAGTAAAGGGAAGAAGAGGGGATCTCTATTTGGAAGGTTGGCTTTGAGGTTCAAACTCCAGGAGCAGTCCGAGTTTATATCTAACATCTCTACTCTCCTCTCTCTAGCGCCAACGACTTTGATCTTTTTGCTGTTGGGTTGAGCGGGTCACCCGCACACTCACCCACAACCCACCCACCACCCGACGGATGGCTCCCAGCGCAACCCGTCACCCACCCACTTAACGAAATTCGGGTCAAATGCGGGTGGGTCGGCCCAAACCCGCGGATGATCCGCCCGTATGCCCAGTCCTAGTTCCTGCAATAAGAGTGGAACGCTATCGAAGCAACAATTTTGCTTTTTTATTTGGGTTTTATTGTGAGAATCTATTTCACATTGAAAAAATTAAAACCAACTAGACATGTTTTTTCTCTTAGTTTCCACAATTTTTAAAATCACAATTTTTAAAAGCCAACAAGTAATCGGATGTGGCATTAGATTTCCATCAACTCTCTGACCAAAAAAAGATTTTCATCAACTCAAATTAATCATGATGGATAATGCATGTATAGATTTTCACATATTTATGACTTGGTTTAATTTATATAAAACACTTAGACTTTGAACCATATTTGATCGATTGAGACAAGGTATGGATCTCAAATATTGAAAAACTTAGTGATACTTCGTTATCTTGTTATATTGTTTGTTGGTTTTCTTTTAATGAGTCCAAACTCCAGTGATCATTTTATTACCTTGTGTAAGATTTGGTCCAATGGGACTCATCTAGTGAGTGGTTGGATGATATCATTTTTATTATTTATTTGGTGAATTAGTATGTTAACTGGGCGATTTGAATAAAAAATTTGAAATGGTAGCAATCTAATTATATTGGATCTCTATCATACCGTTTTACCACTCGATAACGATTTACCACTAAAATTAAACTTGTACTACATCGATTAAAAATAAAGAATTAAATGACTTTATAAGGCCAACTTAATTGTAAAAATTAAATCAATTGAGATGGGCCAAGTGGGTTGCTTTTTTGGGCCCATAATCTCATGGCATCATGCGCCACTCTAGCCATCTATTCCAAAATTTGGCTAAGTATTGGAGCCACTCCCATGACGGGCCAAGGGGTGTGGACACCATACCGCTACCACCATGATGTGTTGGGGGGCATCATACTGCCACCCCCATGACGTGGTGAGGGGCGTGACCACCATACCGCCACCCCCATGATGTGCCGGGAGGCATTATACTGCCACCCCCATGACGTGGTGAGGGTGGGTACAATATTGCCACCCCCATGACGTGATAAGGGGGTGAACACCCCCATGAGGTGATCAACTTACACCCCTAATGAGGTGGTCAAGGGGGTGATCGACATATGCCCCCATAAGATGATCAAGGGGTGACCATCAACGCACGCCCCATGGTACGATTAGGGGGTGAGATCAACATACACCCCCATGAGGTAGTCAGGGGGTGTTCATCTTGGGTAAAATTTGGCTGCGTCTGGAGATGGTTGGCCGAATTTGGCCAAGGAAAGGAACACCCCCATGAGGTGATCAAGGGGTTGGATCATACACCCCGATGAGATGGTCAAAGGGGCCACCAACGTACCAAGCCCCGTGGTATGATCAGGGGGTGGGGATCAACCCCATGAGGATCGGGGGGGGGGGGGGGTCACCCCCTAGTATGACGAGAACAAGTGAAATTTGGCTATGTATAACCCCCTTGGGAATGAAATTTGACCAAGTATGCAGCTCTCATAGTGGTGAACTATTCTTGCCATTTTTACTCTATGTGATCCCAACACACACCCACATGTAGCAAGGGGGTCTTCACGCTTTCTTCATTTTTCTCAACTGGCATAACTATCAGGTGAGGGGGCCAAGACTGAAGAAGATCCAACCACCAATGGCACGGCATAATCGAAGCAGTTGAGAGGGTAACCACCACTCCACGTCAGCTGGGTAGTTTCTCGAGGCAGTTAATTTTTGTGGCTATAAATAGGAGGTGAAGAAGATGGAGAAAAGGTTCGCAAAAATCACAACTCGACACCACTTGTCAAGTTTTATCTTTTTCTCTTTTCCTCTGCAGATTTTAGCCATAGTCGTAGTTTTGGAGCTCTCACTGAACCTCCATAGGAGTAGGGCTAATTTAATGTAGATTTGCCTCGTAGTTCATCAAAACATTTAACACCCTTGTTTGAACTTTATTCAAAGAGGTGTCAACTATGTTGTTTGATCTTTTGTTTGGAAGTCAACGGTGCAAAATCCAATTTTGTTTATCTAGTTTTTCTCACTAGGAAAACAAATTGGCACACCTGGTGGGACCCGTGTGTTCGATTTGATGGCTCCGAGGCGGAGGAATCAAGAAGGTGACGCTCCGGCTGGTTTTGTGGAGGAGCAGGTGGCCAAAATTGAACATGGCCAAGTGTCAGTGGCGGTGGCCGGAAACAATGGTGGGGCAGAGATGCTACCAACAGCGACGCCCAGTGGAGATATTGGCGAAGTAGTGGGGATCCTTTGTCAAATGATGGAGGAGAACCACAAGATGGTGGCAGAGAACCATCAAGCCACAGAGGAGAACCGTCAAATGATGGTGGAGAACCGATGCATGATGGAGGAAGCTAGAGCTGCTTCTCATAAGGTAAATTCTCAAATGGACTGTCTTAATTCTAGAGTTGATAGACGTCTAAGTCAATTATTCAAAGTGGTTAATCAGAACAAAAGTGATTTTGATGAGTTTAGAAGTTTTTAACCACACCAATAATCCAATCTAGAGCTATGTCATTAGATAGCGAGAATTCAAACCCCAATAGCAAAGCTGGAAATTTTAGTCCATCTTCACTCGGCGGCGGAAATGGCCAGCCGCGACAAGATAACCTGGTTTCCACCGATGACAAACCAACCAACTTTTCACCGCATGAATCGCGGCAAGATTCCTGCCACTACTCAAGTGGAAGGGATACCCAATGTGGGAGTTGGAGAAATTCCCCCACGTGGTGAGAATTTGGGACTTACACATTCTGCTCCAGTGGAACCACCACCCATACCCATACCAGTGGCAAGGCCATATACGGTGCCTGCTCACATGGGAGGGGGAGTAGGCTTAGGTGGGGGAGATCAAGTTCGTCCGAGAGCATACCCAACACCCATGCCACCCCATTTCAATGGGCATGGCATGGACCCCATGGGTTTCGTACCCCAAGGGGGGCAACTAGGGGGCATGATCCCAACAATCTAAGGGACCAGGTGGCTCAACTTCTTGCCGAGCAATTTGGCATGGGAGTGAGACCCACCATGCCACCTGTTTATTGAAAACCATACCTTGAGTGGGTGGATAGACTCTACTCATTCCCAAGGGGATTTAGGGTGCCCGAGTTTGCCAAATTCGAGGTATTTTACCCTGACACAATTCATATATGCAATGAATATTTAGCCACGATACAAAAACTATCAAAACCACATTAAGTTGAAAGATATGTAGTCTACCTAATCTATGGGTTATATTGTCAGTAAATATACGAAGTCTCAAACCACATTAAGTTGAAAGATATATAATTAGTAGCCTAACTAATTTATGAGTTATATTACTAATAGTAAGTTGAAAGATTTGTAATCTAACGAACCTACAAGCTATAAGACTAATAATAGGTCAGTCTAGGACCTATGTAATGAATAACTAATCGAGTTGGTTTGCGAGTCATACCATCAAGTTGACTTATACCTTTAATTTAACTGAAGTCACCAGTCACATTATCAAGCTAGCTAGGTAGTGATTTTCGATCGAGCGGACTCACGAGCCATACTATCAAGTCAATTCATGAACTTCAAACGAGCCAACTCATCGAGTTAAAAAGGCTATAGCTTGCTCATTAACAAACGAGCCAAGAGCCGAGTATCAAACTAATCCCCGAGCCCACATACACACAAAATAACACATAAATAAATCAAGTTCTCTTTACTTTGCGTTAGTTATAAGTCCCCCCTCCCTCCCTATCTGATAAATAGTAGTTTTCACTTTCACATTGTCTTTCCTTTTGTGATAGTTAATGGTACTGCTTGCAGTAGTAGTAGATCATGGTGAGATCAGTTCGTCATATTCATATGTGGACACCATAGCCGAAAGACCAAGAAGCCAGGTATCAATTACTTGTACCCAAAAATGCAAATATCTGTTCCCTTTTTGGTTCCCATTGCAGGATGAACTGTTATACATTTGCTGCTGAATAATGTGATTTTTGGAACAGCCTTGTGATTCTTCTGCATCTCAGATCCGATGGCGATCAATAGCATTCTTTCTCCAACCATCTCCTTGGACATGTTATGGCTGTGCAGTGCTCACCAATTTTGCTAGGTCCAAAATAAGTCAGAGTGCTTCCTTGCTCTGTCTTTTCAGTTTGAATAGATAGACTGACTGATTGAACAAGCACTATATACTACTCAACATAACGCCATTGTCTCTTTATTACAATTTACTCAGTGTCATAATATAAGTGGCGAGTGTCCCTTGATCCTCACACTCACGGTAATGAACTAATGATTTTTCTTTCTGAAATTGTCCTGGAAATAAAAAAAATCCTGGCTTTCCAATGGACAGCAGCTCAGGTACCACTGCGCTCGAGACTCTGGTTAGTAATACATGAGCCACTGTGCAACTTAGCATTCACTCCAATTAGCTGCAACCTCTTTTGTGCTAATGCAGCTGTAGCCTGCTGCACCAATCAGAGGAAACTGCTGAGTGTCGAAATCATAATCGTAACGAACTAGTGTGGTTCGAGAACTCTAGTGTGTACCCTAGTTTCGTGGGTCTCGGTGGTGTAAGTTCGCGATCTTCGTCCTGGGGCTGGCTAAGCTGGAGATGTACAGGGACATGGGAATCATCTTGGATGGTCAGACCATTGATGAGAAGTGAGTTTCTGTTCGATCCATTCGCGTCTCTCGTCCCATAAACCTTTGAGTAAAAATGTTTTGTTATGAACTGGATGTGAAAATGCTGACAGAGAAGACATGGACTAGTGATCTGAAATAATTTAAAAAATTTCTCCAAGGAACAATAGGGTATATATATCTAAAAGCCTATACCTTTTTTTGTAATTCCATGTTTTCTTTCCGTAGTACGTTTACCTTCTTATAGAGCTCCACATTTTCGTGGTGAATGAGGCTACCCTGCAGTTCTCATACAGTGGATTAGATGCTTAATTATATTTTGGGGTAAACAACAAATGATGAGGCAGGTTAAAGTTTGTGACAGTAATCACCTTTCTGTTTAATTCTTGTACTTCGTCCATTAGGATTTGGTCCTGAAGAAAGCCAACTACCAAATGTCAATCAACAAGAACAATGCAACTGATCTCCATGAGTGCACAAATAATATGGGATGGGGGGTGAAGACTTCAAACCTTTTTCATCCGAACACCTCTTAGACTCATCTCCAATTGGTTTTCTAAATTCTGTAAATCCTTTATACTCAAGCCTGAAAGCTCCTCACCCATCATTTGCCTGTTATGCAAAAATCAATAGCCTCAAAAGGGTTTTTCACTTGACACTCCCAATTGTTTTTAGCATATCATCACATGATCAAGCAAAGGGCAAGATGCAGTATCTTCCCATGCCCTGTTGCTGCCCAGACTATGGCATCTCTATTAAGTGGATTTGGTAATGGCAAGCTGGGAAAAGTGTGATTTCAGATTCCTGTTCTCTGCCGTTTGGCACTGATGTTTGTGAATTAATTAGGATCTGTGATATGCTGTTGCTCATAAATAGCAGGGGCTTGAAGGGAAAGATGCATACCTATGGTTTTCTTGCAAGCTCTGTAGCTGTTGCCTCAACATTGCTGCCTCTCTTTGCCAGAACTAGCAAGTTTAAACACAGTTTGTCAACAGGTACTCTGGCTTAAGAATCATGTGCAAGCTCTCCCCAATTTTCCTTTCTTTCAGACTCTTTTGGTTTTGGTATATGTTCTAATGTGCTTGCTTGCTTATCATTGTTAAAGCAATTTTTTGAATGAAACAAATAGGAAAATGTTACCTTCACTTCAGAAGTGGGATTCCCCATTTGGTTATGCTCCTCTTTCGTCTTGTTGTATCTTTCAATTACAGATTTCATGCTAGAAAAAAGTAGAGATGAGGAGGATCAGTACATGGTTTGCCCAACAATCAAGTGATATATATATATGTATTTCAAGCAATGAAATTTTGTTTGCAATCTTGTATCATATTGGTTGATTCTAGCAATTAACTTTGTTTGCTATTTCGTTCCGTATCGATTTAATGGATACCTATCTTGCTGGAGGTTGATTTTCTAAAAAAAGGCACTTGATTACTCGGATTGGTTTTCACAATGATGAAGGATTGAGGTCATTTTGATTTATTACAGTTATCCTCGAAAAATTATAAAAAAGAAATAACTAACCATTGCAAACAATATAAAAAAGAATATAGATTTTAAATCTTCAAATACATGTATTTCAAATAAATATTTAAACAATAACATTTTAAATTCTTAGTGTTTTGAATGCATATATGCATTTCAAATACATACATTAAAATACTCCTATCCAAATGCAATCCTAAATATTTATCCGAACGAGAAAATTACCGTCAAGATAGTGCAATTCCTATATATGGATTTTGATAGTTCTACATGTTAATTTTTTCCGTTGAATCAAGTTGATTTTTTTTTCTTCGAAAAGTATTACAGGTAATTTTCATATATTTGTTTATGTAATGGATAAAATTCAAATACTTAATTATGTTCTTGTGTATTTGCATGTGCATGCAGTGCATAGAAACGTTTGGATGTTGAACAGTCCCCAAAAGAGAACCTGCGTCTACGAAACCCTAGCTACTTAATTCGCCAGATACAAAACGGTAGTCTTAGAAAATGATTTTGCTCACAAGAGATGGGAAATGGTAGTCTCTGAAATTTTCACTGCAAGTGTGTTAATTGATGGGTCGGTTGGAAATAGTAAAGCTTTCCATTTCTCAAGCATCAAGCCTGCTGGAGAGCACCTTCGAAACTTTGGTTTGGCGAAAACTATAATGCATGTCAAACGTAGTTTAAGTCACATTAGGATCGTTCTTTTTGTATGTTTTCCCTCTTACATATGTTACCTCAAATAAGAGAGAAGCTTTTGATCATTGACGAAAATTAGGAATACTATAGTGGATCATAATAAATAAGATAACGCTGATTTTAGACCTAAAGTTAAAACGTTTCCACTCAATAGAGTATGTAGTGTAATGATATATATGTTGAGTGAAGCTCGTCAAATGGGAAAGAATCAATCAACCAAGACTGAAATGGAAGGTTTCAAGAATGGAAAGCTGGAGCAGATTTGTGGGAAATCAAAATCAATGTCCTGCAACGGCTAGCTTGAAGAGATGCAATAAAAGGCACGAGACAACCAAAACTGAAGGTTAAGGTTTTTCATAGAGATCGAAAAGCAGAGTACTAGGTTATTGAGTGAAATTGCTTTTTGAGTGGAAAACATCAGTGAAGCTAATCAGGGAGAATAGCTGTTAGTACTGAGGGTGATCAGGGAGATCGTGCTTCAGTAGGAACGTTTGATTGATAGGCAGAGAGCTGTTCTAATCAAACTCTGAGTGTGTAAAACAGGAACCAGAACAGAGGTCTAGTAGTTACGTAGGAATCCTCAAGAGGAGAGATTCCTACCGTGGATTAGTCGATATTGGGATTCTTCTTCTCCCAATATCGGATACCACGTAAAAAGGTCTGTGCAGTGTGTGTGTATTTTCTGTTTCGTGCTTAGCTTGCTACTCTGTTGTTGCAGCAGCTGTTCAGGTACAAGGAAGCTTTGCTTCAGGAAGTTCTCACCACACGAAGGAAGAAGAAGGTAAAAAGGTGGGCTGCTTTTGAGAAAGCAGGCCTACTGTTATCTACTTAGAAATAAAACCTTGGGCCAAAGCCCAGTATTATCTAAGTTAAAACGATAGCCCATATTTCATTTGTTTCTGTTGCTATACGAATTACATCGTCGTTTTATCAAAACTGAGAAAAATCAATTCTCGATCAAACTCATTCTTCACTTGCTCGAGCAAAATCGTCGATTAGGGTTTGCAGGTCCTCAATCTAAGCATTGAAGAAGCATTGGTCTCACGCTCGACCATCAATCTACACGTGGTATCAGAGCCCGGCTCCGGAATACAAGGCGCAACCGTCTTCGGAGACAATGAGCTCGGGATCAGCCAATGGAATCTTCATGGCAGATGGATTCTCGCAAACTCGACCTCCCAGGTTCGAAGGCGTACACTACGGGTACTGGAGAAATCGCATGGAGCTCTTCATAGGATCAACTGATCCGGATCTCTGGAACATTGTTCTAGATGGACCCTTGGAAGTGAAGGAGGCTCGTGGAAACTGGACGGAGACCGACAAGAGGAACTTTCAGCTTAACTCGAAGGCGACGAATCTGATGTACTGTGCACTGGGACCAGAAGAGTACCACAGAGTGACTGGATGTAAATCCGCAAAGGAAATTTGGGATAAATTGCAGATTGCACATGAGGGTACCTCTCATGTCAAAGTTTCAAGAATCAACAGTCTCAAGCAGGAGTTCGAATCGTTTATCATGAAGCCAGACGAATCGATTAAAGAGATGAATGATCGTTTCACGACGATTGTCAACAGCTTGAGAAATCTGGAGGTGGAATACGCTAGTGCAGATCTAGTACGAAAGGTACTCTGGGCCCTGCCCAAGAAATGGACACCTAAGGTCACCGTGATCGAGGAATCGAAAGATCTCACCAAGTTAAGCCTGGATGAGTTAATTGGATCTCTCATCACACATGAGGATAAGCTGAAGAAAGAAGATTTGGAAGAGCCAAGAAAAGAAAAGAAGAGCATAGCATTCAAGGCCACAACTCAAGAAGATGATCTAGATTGCTTGGACGAAATGGAGGATGATGAGCTTGCAATGCTAAGCAAGCACGTTGCCAAGCTGCTCAAGATCAGAAGAGACAAGAAAAGAGGAGGATTTTCAAACAGATCAAGAGACGGAGAAAATGAAAAGGAAAATAACAGAGGAGGACGACAAGGATTCAGGAGTCGGAGAGAAGGAGGAAGCAATGAAAGAACCCAGACTCAATCTGGATGTTTCAGATGCGGCAAACCAGGGCACATCAAAGCCGAGTGCCCACTGACAAAGAAAGAAAAGGCGTTTGCAGCCACCTGGAGCTGCAGTGAGGAAGAAGAAGAAGAGGATGATGCAAGTCACAAGTACAGTGCTTACATGGCAATGGATGACTGCGAAGAAGAAAACTCTCAGGTAATAACTTACTACTCTGACTCTGAAAGTGACTGTGATGAATTATTAGATGAGACAATTAGGGACATTCAGAATGAATGTGTGAATGTAAAAAATAAGTATCTCTCTATCAAAGTAAATCATGATAAGTTGCAAATCGAATTTGAAAAGCTAATGCGTGAAAAACTGAGTCTTGAAAATAGAGTTCAAGAACTATTGCAAGATAACTGTAAGCTAAGAGAACAGATAAAGGTTGCAAGAACTGAGTCAGAAAAGATAAAAACTAAAACTAAGGTAAAAACTGAAAATGTAAAAAGATCAGAAGCTCACAAACAACACGAATGTTTTTATTGTCACAAATCTGGGCACTACATTGCTAACTGTAGAAGAAGAATAAACAAGGAAAACAGAATGAAACAATCTTGGTATGAAAACCTAGATTACAATCAACATTTAGTGAATTCATCTCATATCAGAAAAGTAACTAAATTAGTTTGGTTACCTAAAACTAAATGATTGTATATACATTCTTGCAGACCTGTCTCCAAGTGAGCATGGAAGGCAGCGTTTGGATTCTAGATAGTGGGTGCTCACACCACATGACGGGTAATAAAAATCTTTTTTCTAAACTAACTCTTGAAAACAAAGGAAAAGTCTATTTTGGTGACAACTTTTGCACTGAAATTCTAGGGAAAGGAATGGTGGGAACATCTCCTTCAATCAGTAATGTGTTGCTGGTAAAAGACCTCAAACATAACCTCTTATCAATCGGACAATTGTGTGGAGATGAAAATAGAGTTGTTTTTGAAAAGAACCAATGCTTTGTTGAAAATACAGAAACTCATAAACGGATTTTAACAGGAAAACGTAAAGGAAAACTGTTTTCAATAGACCTTGAAGATAAGTCTGCGTTTAATGAAACCTGTCTAGTTTCAGTCAACAAGGATGATCAATTTGAATGGCATAGGAGACTAGGGCATGTAAGCATTGGAATTTTGTCAAGATTGGTAAACTTAGACATTGTCAGGGGAATTCCAAAACTTCAAAGTAAAAAGGATTTGTTCTGTGATGCCTGTGCAAAGGGTAAACACAACAGAAGTTCTTTCAAAACCAAAACAGTAATCTCCACAGTCAGACCCCTAGAATTACTTCATTTGGATCTTTTTGGACCTAGCAATGTGATGAGCCTAGGTGGTAAGTATTATGCCTTTGTGATTGTGGATGATTACTCAAGGTTTACCTGGGTATTATTTCTAACCACAAAGGATGAAGCTTATCAAAACTTCAAGGATTTTGTCAAACGAGTTGAAAATGAAAAACAGATAAAAGTAGGTAGTATAAGAAGTGATCACGGAGGAGAGTTCATTTCTGAAAAATTTGAACTGTTTTGTAATAAAAGGGGAATTACTCATAACTTTTCGGCACCTAGAACCCCTCAACAGAACGGTGTGGTAGAAAGAAAGAACAGAACCTTGATTGACATTGCTAGGACCATGTTAAATGACTATGGAACTCCTAAACAGTTCTGGGGAGAACCCATTAACACAGCATGCTATGTAACCAATAGAGCTCTCATCAGATCTAAAATTAACAAGACACCTTATGAAATTTGGAAGGATAGAAAACCAAATCTAAGTTACTTCCATCCTTTTGGATGCAAGTGCTTTGCTTTGAACACAAAAGACCACTTAGGGAAGTTTGACTCAAAATCAGATGAGTCAATATTTCTAGGGTATGCTGTGAACAGTAGAGCTTATCGAATTTTTAATAAACGGACCCTCAAGGTTGAGGAGTCCGTTCACGTGATATTTGATGAGGCTTGTGGCAAGTGTACAGATAGTATTGA